TATGTCAATTTAAAATACCATATGTGATCTTTTGCATCTGGCTTCTGTCCCTCAGCCTCATGATTTCAAGGTTCATTCATGCTATACCTTGTATCAAGCTTTTTGCTCCTTTTTGCCCGGTAGTATTCTATTGTATATATGTACCACATTTTGTTTACACATCACCTTAGCATTGGAGATTTATCATTTTATGAAATTTTAAACTTTCTTTGGGGTCTTCAGCTATATAAGATAGCCTTTTTGTTAAAAAAAAAAAGTTATATATTTTCTTTCTTTCTTTTTAGAGACAGAGTTTCACTGTGTCCCCCTTGGTAGAGTGCTGTGACATCACAGCTTGCAGCAATCTCAAACTCTTGGGCTCAAGCAATTCTCTTGCCTCAGCCTCCCAAGTAGCTGGGACTACTGGTGCCCACCACAATGCCCAGCTATTTTTTGTTGTAGTTGTCATCGTTTTAGCTGAGCTGGTCAGGGTTCGAACCTACCACCCTTGGTGTACATGGCTGGCACCGTAACAACTGTGCTACAGGCGCCGAGCCTGTTTTGGGACTTTTTGATAAAAGCCATTCTCACGGGAGTTAGGTGATATCTTACTATAGTTTTGCTTTGCATTTACCTGATGATTAGAGATCTTGAGCATTTTTTCATGTGTTTGTTGACTATTAAGACTATTTTTTTTTTTACTTTCACCCAGTCCTTATTCACTATGGTTAAATTTTTATTACACAGGTTTGATAACATATTATGTGGAAACATATTAAAGCAATGGTCATGAAAAATTCATGCCTTTCTAGATCATCAAAGAAATTAAAACATTCCAACTTCTAAATACCTTCTCTGGACTCCAGTCTCCTCAGGGTACAACCGTGAACTAAGTCATTATCTTCCCATGAGCTTTGACTCAGGAGCTTTGGAAATGGGGAGTGGAAGGAGGAACAAAGAAAGACTGATATTTTTTATGATCAAGATACAGGAAAAAGGGCTAGGCACAGTGGCTCACGCCTGTAATCCTAATACTCTGGGATGCTGAGGCGGATGGATTGCCTGAGCTCAGAGGTTTGAGACCAACCTGAGCTAGAGTGAGACTCCATCTCTTAAAAAAAAAAAGAAAGAAAGAAAAAAAAAAGAAAAGAAGTAACCAGGTGTGGCGGGTGCCTGTAGTCCCCACTATTCAGGAAGCTGAAGCAAGAGAATCACCTAAGCCCAAGAGTTTGATGTTGCTGTGAGGTGTGACACCAAGGAACTATACTGAGGGTGACAAAGGGAGACTCTGTTTCCAAAAAAAAAAAAAAATATATATATATATATATATATATATATGAAAAAAATATGCAAGAGAATTGGGGTCCTGAAGAAAGTTAGGCTCTAAGAGCAAGCAGTGGTGTGAATTAGAGGAGATTGGAGTGTCTCAGGGGATTCCCAGAAATATAATATAAAGAAGGACTGAGTTCTAATCTGAATTTCCTTCAGAAGAGACATTAACAAATCCATATATATTGAGTGAACTCAGACCATTAGACTGTTTTCATTTGCAGTGTTTCTGTTCATATCTTTTGCTCACTTTCCAATGGGGCTGTTTGATTTTTTCCTTACTTTTTTGCTTAAGTTCTTTTTTTAGACTCTGGTTATCAGCCCTTTATTGGATGCACAGCATGCAGATATTTTCTTCTACTCTGTAGGTTGTCAATTTACTCTATTGATTGTGTCTTTGGTTGTGCAGAAACTTTTTAATTTGATCAGGTCCTGTGTGTTTATTTTTGTGGTTGGCTGTGATTGCTTATGGGGTCTTCCTCAGAAATTCTTTCCGTAGGCTGGTGTCTATAAGAGTTTTCCAATGTTTTCTTTTAGAATTCTTACAGGTTTTTTTTTTTTTTGCTTTTGGTTTAAGTTTTTTATCCATCATGAGTTAATTTTTGTTAAGTGGTGAGAGACATGAATCCTGTTTCAGTCTTTTTTACATGTGGCTATTGAGTTTTCTCAATACCATTTATTGAACAGGGATTCCTTCTTTCAGTGTATATTTTTATCTGCTTTGTCAAAAATCAGATGGGAATATGAGAATGGTTTTATATATGTGTTCTCTGTTCTGATCCATATGTCTATGGAAGGGAGCCTTTTTATAAGTTACCTAGGAGGCTTTCTGGTCTTCACAAAGGATTTAATTGTCAATTAATCAATCAGTAATCAGTTATGTATAATATCTACCTAATTCCTCTCATTTTTTCTTTTCTCTTTTTTTTTTTTTGAGACAGAGTCTCATTTTGTCCCCCTTGTTAGAGTGCCATGGTGTCACAGCTCACAGCAACCTCAAACTCTTAGGCTTAAATGATTCTCTTGCCTTAGCCACCCAAGTAGCTGGGACTACAGGAGCCCATCTATTTTTAGAGACAGGGTCTCTCTTTGGCTCAGGCTAGTCTCTAACTTGTAAGCACAGACAATCCACCTGTCTCGACCTCCCAGAGTGCTAGGATTACAGGTGTGAGCCTCCTTACTCAACACCTCCTCTCGTTTTCTTAAATGCCTTCTATATTTTCATATCTCTTGTTAGAATACTCCTCCAGTGTATCACATAAAAACTTTTAACAATTTCCCTACTACCATTTTCCAAGGTATATGTGTGCTCTACCTACCATTAGTGATGGAATCCTCTGTCAGTTGCACAGTTGAGCATCCTGTCTTAGCATCTACTTTCTCTGAGCACTCTTGGTCCCAACTATCAAAGATGATGCTCTACAAAAAGCAGACACTAACATGAAAATTAGTGTGTGGAAAGTTCCTTATGGAGTTTTCTTGGCATCAACAGAAGGAAGGGAAGGAAGCAGCACTTGGTAGAAGGGGAGATTGTACTTTGAATCACTGTCAATGAAAGCTTCATACAACTGAGTAGAGAGCTCTGAGGCAGGGGTAGCCTTACAAAGTTTTCTAGAGTTGAGGAAAAGGAGGTAGGCTTTTGTTCCTCTGTATTGATCAGTGAGAGTGACTTTGAGCAAGTGGATTCCTTGAGCTGAAGCAATTCTTGAAGAGGGCTCATACATTAGGGTTGTCTATCAGTGTTGATTGTGGCAGTGGGGGCAATAAATCCTTCAGTCCTGAGGGGGGATCCAGGTGGTATGTCACAGCATCCACTATACAGAGCCAAAAGGATCTTTTGACTGATGAGATGAGATGTGTGAGGCAAACTGAGGCATCAGGGATGACTCCCGAGGATTTTGGACTGGGCAACTGAAGGATATTGCCTTCTCATGTTAAGTGAGAAGGCAAAGGCTGTAAGAGAAGTTTTTTTGAAGGGGATTTCAGGATTTTAGTTTGGGTCATGTTATGTGTGAGATGTCAATTAAACATCCAAGTGGATATGTCAACTTGACAGTTGGATATATAAGTCTGTCAAAGACTTAAAGCGATTTTATTAATAACTCTAGTATTTTTCAGCTGTACTCTCTAAGTTCTTGTGTTGTTATTTTGTTATTGTTGTCTAGTGATCTTTGGAAATATTTTTAATCAACATTCTTAGCACGAAAACCTAGTTGTTCTATCTACTTAAGTCTTAGAAATCTAGGAGTAACTTCAGTATTTTGGTTTCCACACTTGAATGGCAACATAAATAGTATCAATTCCTATGAAATGATAAACTCTCTAACATACTACTCTTTTTCATGCATACATATTTATGCTTGTTTCTAGACTCTTTCTCTTCCTTTCAGCTATAGTGTATTCTTGTGGAACCATGAGTTAGTTATTGTCCTTTGACTCGTCCTTGAACATAATCAACAGCAAAAAGCTGCCTATACCCACAGGTTAAAGACATTCAAGATGAGTTGTTTGGATTTAGCTGTTTTTCCATCATCTAGAGCCTCTACAAATTTATTTATTTATTTATTTTTATTTTTAGAGACAGTTTTACTTTGTCGCCCTCAGTAGAGTGCTGTGGCGTCGCAGCTCACAGGAAGCTCTTGGGCTTAGCCTATTCTCTTGTCTTAGCCTCCTGAGTAGCTGGGACTACAGGCACCCGCCAGATACCTAGTTATTTTTTTGTTGTAGTTTGGCCCTGGCTGAGTTCAAACCCACCACCCTCAGTATATGGGGCTGGTGCCCTACTCACTGAGCCACAGGCACTGCCCTATAAATTTATTTATTAAGATGGAGCATATATGGCTATTTATTGTAAAAAGCTGTAATAGTGGCGGCTCCCATAGCTCAGTGGGTAGGGTGCTGGTCACATTCACTGAGGCTGGTGTGTTTGAACTGGGCCAGGGCCAGCTAAAACAATAATGGCAACCACCACCACAACTAAAAATAGCCAGGTGCTGTGGGGGGTGCCTGTAGTCCCAGATACTTGGGAGGCTGATGCAAGAGAATTGCTTGAGCCCACGAGTTGGAGGTTGCTGTGAGCTGTTACGCCATAGCACTCTACCCAGGGCGACAGATTGAGACTCTGTCTCAAAAAAAAAAAAAAAAAAAGCCATAATAGTATTCTTGGCTAATATTCTTTTCTCTGTAATGCAGGTTGTGTTTTGATGCTTTATATCAAAAGAACTGTTAACACATTTTGTCTTAATAATCTCTGTTATTATAGGAGGTCATATAAAATACTTTTTTGTTTAGAATATGTTTTGTTCTCATTTTCGGTTGCAAGAACTAATTTTATTGGCTCAGCTCCTGTGGCTCAAGTGGCTAAGGTGCCAGCTACATACACCTAAGGTGGCGGATTCGAATCCAGCCTGGGCCCGCCAAACAACAATGATGGCTGCAACCAAAAAATAGCCAGGTGTTGTGGTGGATGCCTGTGGTCCCAGCTACTTGGGAGGCGGAGGCAGAAGACTCGCTTGAGCCCAGGAGTTGGAGGTTGCTGTGAGCTGTGATGCCATGGAACTCTACTCAGGGGGACAGCTTGAGGCTCTGTCTCAAAAAAAAAAGAAAGAACTAATTTTATTGAGCTATTTGGAGTAAGATTAGCAATACTCAAATAGCTTAATATCTGCGTAGATTTTTTTTTTCTTTTTTCATGTCAGGTGGGTAATGTGCCATCATTGTAACAAGATTCGTGGGAGACACATCTCACACATGTGCATGAAAACCCAGTCATCAAACTTATGAACTACAAAAGGATCTGCCTAGATTTTTTGATTTGGATATTGAAGTTAAATTGAAATTTGCCACCTGAATTTCAAGTAATAAGAAAGAGTAAGTCTAAACTAATAGTATGACAGAAAATTATGTAAAAGGAAATTGGTAATCTGAATGAGTACATGAACAGAGACAGTGACCCATTTTATTTTTTGAGACAAAGTCTCACTTTGTCACCCTAGGTAGAATGCTGTGGCGTCATAGCTCATAGCAACTTCTAACTCTTGAGCTCAAGCAGTTCTCTTGCCTCAACCTCCAGAGTAGCTGGGTCTACAGGCACCCACCACAATGCCTGGCTATTTTTATTTTTAAAGATGGGGGTCTCACTCTAGCTCAGGCTGGTCCCAAACTCATGAATTCAGGTGATCTTGCCCACCTTGGCTTCCCAAAGTGCTGGGATTACAGGCCTGAGCCACTGCACTCGGCACAGTGACCTATTTTTATAGCTAATTCCATATTTATAAAACATATTATTGAAAACACATTTGGCTTTAGGTTAACACAAATTCATTATTCTTGCCCTGTAATGCTAACAAAGGGAATACAGATTCTTAAATCCTAAACATACTTTAATGCATATTTTTATTGTTGATTTTAGCAACAATAACAAAATCCCACAACTTAGTGGACAGAATCTAGGATTTTGAAAGATTACAGGCAATAATTATAACTAATGTGCTCCTAATAGCATATATCCTATATTCTTCTCTTAGAAATGTGCATTCAGTGAAACTTCAGTAACAAGACCATGAATTAAATTTGGAAGAAAAACTAAGTCTTTTAGGAGGTGTTGCTTTCCCAAAGTCAATGATAGCGGCTAAATTAGATAGAATCCTGGTGCCTTGAGCACCGGTCCAGAGCTATTTCCAATACACCTCATGCACAAAATTCGTGGCTTCGATTTGACATTTATTTTCTGTTGTGGATATTGATTTCCTAGGAAAAATATGAAATGTGCTGTTGCAGTTTTGTGTGCTTTATTGAACAAATAAACTATAATTGATTCCAAAGGCTTGTGTACTACTCTTTAGTTTATATTACTACAAGTTTATTTTCATAAACCTTCTTCAGTGATGGCTGATTATAACTATATATATTAATAAACAGTACTGCTAATGTTTTATCAGTTATTATAGATTTATCTGGTTTATGGGCTTGCCTTGGCCCAAATAAAACCTTTGGTGTATTTTATGGTACTTCGTGAGGAGCTTTATAATTAAGTTCGTGTTTAAATGAGAAGAAGCATGACAGCAGAATGCAGTTACTCAAATCTTTCAGTTTTTGCTGACTGCATTGAGAACTACAGAAGCTAAAGAAAGTTAGAAAATTTATTTGTGACTAAGTTAGAAATGATACTTTTGTTAAACGTTTTTCTAAAAATGTAATCTTGGTTAAATTTAAAATCTCTTCAATCTCATCCAAGGTGTGGAAGGCTCAAAATCTATTTTGTTTCTATTTAAAATTTCTTATCCTCACATTCATTTAATACTGCCTTACTTTTCTGTGAATATTGATTATTATCAATTGAATATAATTTGTTTTGCTTTGATATGCTAAATTCACTATTCTTGGCTACCAATAATATCAATCTAGTGTAAACACATTTTTGAGAGGCAGATACTGCTAGTCACTACATGGAGATAAAGATAATTTTTTTTAATGCTTTTCCTAGTCTTCATTGTAGGGTCTATAAGGGTAGATAAGGCAAATTTCATGGAAAAATGATTTGTCGACCTATGTAACCTTAACTGTTGCCCCTTATTTTATCTCCTCCAAAGCTACATTAAATGCAAATGTAGGGATAGGATGTGGAAGCAGCAAAATAAAGTATATATTGGTTTTACATTTTTCAAACAAGAGCCTGAATATGACAATCATGGTAAATTGCATTGCTGTCATAAACTATACATCACACTTCACATTGTAAAACAAAAGAGTGTATGCAGAATAAATCTTAACCAGTCTGCACTGAGAAGACTCCTCCTGAATTGCTTGCTTCAGGTATATCCATTTCATTGAACAATACCATTTACCAACTGCACATGATTGATGTTTTTAGAACACTTCAGCCAACAGCAGAATACATATCTTTTTGTAAATTCCACAGGGAATATATACTAAGACAGGCCATATCCTGGGCCATAAAACTAACTTAAAAAATGTAAGGGTTTAGTATGTTCTTGGATCATAATGAAATTCATCTAGAAACCAATAAACAGATAACAGGAAAATCTCCAAACCCAAATTAAATAACACACATCTTAATTTTGTATAGGTCAAAGAAAAATTATTGAGGGAAGTGAAAATACACATTAAACGGAATAAAATGAAAATGCAAGATATCAAAATATGTAGGACACACCTAAAGTAGTGCTGAGAGTGAAATTTATAGCACTAAATGCTTGCATTACAAAAGAGAAAAAGTTTTAGATCAACAGTTCAAGCACTCACCTCAAGAGAGCACAGAAAAGCAAAATAAATCCAAGGCAAGCAGAAAAGGGAAGATGATAAAGATAAGAGTAGAAGTTAGTTAAATAGAAAATGCAAAACAATGAAGAAAAGCAATGAAACCAGTCACTGGTTCTTTGAAAAGAGGGATGAAATTTATAAACCTCTAACAAGACTGAAAACCATAAAATGGACAGGAAAAAACTTATATCAAGAATGAAACCATAGATAGTGGATATCATTACAGATGAAAAAGGAGATACTATGGATAATGAGTGAAATCTGTGCAAGATCTTTATTTTCTTCTGATTTCTTATTTAAGTTTCTTTTTTATTTTTTCGCTGGGGCTGGGTTTGAACCCACCACCCCTGGTATATGGGGCCAGCGCCCTACTCCTTGAGCCACAGGTGCCACCCACTGCTTTAAGTTTCATTCATACATTTATTCAACAAATGTCTTCTCTTTGCAGGCATCATGCTATGCAGTAAATGGACAAAGATTTATAGCTAAACCCTTAAGTTCCTCTCTCTTCTATAATTTATGTATTAGTAGGAAATTCATTTATATATTTGCTCTTACTTGCTTATAAATATGGCAAATTATTTAAGGTACTGTTTTTTTGTTTCACATAATTAAGACCAATGGGTTATAAATGTAATTGGCAAATAAGTGTAATTCAATTCTTTGTTCAACAAATATGCATTGAATAAGCCAGTTCCATAATGTTTGAAATGAATTGAGAACATTTATCTGATTTGTGTTTTCATGGAGCTTAATATATTAGATGGATTAAGTTTTAAGGATTTTTTTTCTCTCTTTAAGGACACAAACAATAAACATTATGTGAGGAATGCTTTAAATATTTATACATTTGTACAAATATAGTTTTAATAGTAAAGCTGCTCCAAATAGCCATGTTGGCAGGACACAAATATATGAGGAACTTTAACAGATGCAATCAGTGTAATCTAATTCTCTGTACTCTCAATGAATCCAAAAAAATAATAAAAGAAAAAACAAAATAACCTTCAATGGGCGGCACCTGTGGCTCAAGGGAGTAGAGCACTGGCCCCATATACCAGAGGTGGCGGGTTCAAACCAAGCCTCAGCCCCCCCAAAATTAATTAATTAATTAATTTTAAAAAAACCCTCAAAATCCATGTTGTGCTTCAGACTTCATTTGAGCAAGAAATTTGAATATGTTTAATTTCTTTTATATTATTTTTCATCCCTGTGAATACTAAAGAATATAGACTTGTGTTTATCATAAATTATAAGCATCATATCTTTTGCAGTTCTAAATACGTGAATTTCTTAAGTTTTGGTATTTTAAGATTCTTGAAAATATTTTAATCAAGTGATAGCAGAAAAGATTGACAAAACCATTAAATGGTTTTAGCTGAAGCTAAAATTATTCTCTAATCAGAAGACATCAAAATAGCATGCTAATCTCTCAGCGTTATTTATCACTTCAACTAGACAAGGCCATTTGCTCTAAACATGGGAGAGCAGAATCATCTTCAAATCAACCTCTTAAATTTGCTGGATAGAAATATACTTAACTGACAAAATACTGTAATATTATTCAACTAGTATTTTGTTTTTATAATATACTAAAAATGCATTTCTTTTTTCCCCTTCTGGCGTATAATTTTTTTGCTACAATTATATATGTATATTTATTTATTTATTTTTGTTTTTTGCATATGTGTATTTATTTTACATTTTATTTACCTATTGTTCACTTATATTTGACTCCACCCTGGAATATATCACTCATATTTCATACTCCTGGGAGGTAGTTTTAGATTCTTCTTTAAGGTCTCTCTCAGTTCCATATCTTCTAGCTCTATTCATGAATGACAAAATATCAATCAAATATCAATTTGTGCACTTGGGTCTGTGGACAGATTTCCCAGTTATTGTTTTTAGATGGAGTTAGAGAAAATCTGCATGTTTTCAGCCATTTGTATTTCTTGATTTTATTTTAATTTCCTGATTATAAACTTTGCACATTATTTTTATTTTCTAGCTTATCTGTTTTACACACAGATGCACACATGTGTACACATATACACGTAGCACTTACATTTGAAATTGCTAAGACTTTTAAAATAAGTTTTAATAATAGTGGCATTTTTAGGGAGCCTTTTAGTTTTTCTAAATTTTCATGGGATTATTCTAGTGCTTTTTGGTTAAGCATGATATTACCTTGCTTTGCAGTATAGGTATAGACAATTAGTTTTAAAAATCAGGACTAAATATAAATATTCCTTTGTGTGTGTTTAATGTAAAATGGTAATCAATAAATTTTTACTCTGAGCTATTTAAATTAGTATATATGTGTGCATGTATATTTCACTAAATATATATTAATACGTATTAATATTTCATTAAAATTACCAATTTTGAATCACCCTTGTATGCTTGTCATGCATTCATACCACAAATACTATATTTATTTTGTGTTTAAAATATGGTGGGCATTTTCCTAGTGCTTAAATGTAGTATTAGAGACTCAGCAATAAATACAAC